GGGGGGGGGGGGGGGGGGGGGGGGGGGGGGGGGTTTGAGGTCTGGCGTACGCTCTGTGGCTATTTTTTTTTAATACTTGTCATTGTAAATCTTTGCGACATATCTGGATTTTCCTGTAAGTTGCAGTGTTTATAAGTCACAAGCTATTAAATATAGAGAGGACCAAGTACTGCACCGTTTACACCGACGAATAGCAATATGGCAAACATTTAAGGAAGATATTTCGGGGGGGGTTTGAACCCCATGAACCCCCCCCCCCCCCCCTAAATACGGCCTTGAGGGCATTTGGCCCTTTCTATTTACTTAGCACCCTATAACTTCATGCTGCTGAATTTTTAAAAAATTAAAGCTGTGCAGAGCTGAAGCAATATTCATAGTCTTCGCGGAAAATGAAAATGGTAGCAACAGAAAATTAGCCAGTAACCTTTCTTCATTAGTTTCTTGAACTCCATTTGTGCTCCACACTCATTGAGTGATATTCAAAATTGTCTACTCATCTAAAAGAAAAAAAAAGAAGGCAACCCTGAAGGAGTTGAACGACATTTATGGAGTTCTGAAAAGAAACTATAAGCAGTGTGTATTGCAATCACAGTTTCAAAGGTGTAGAATGAGTTTCCAGACTGATAACTTCACCAAGCAACATAATGTAAGGGTTGCAGGTAGGAGGGTCTTACAAATCAATCGAACCGAACACCAAGAACTACATTAATGAAATGTGGAATATTGTCTCTTAATGGTGTTTGAGTCATTCCACATCATGGTACAAACAACATTGACCGAATTTACATTTTGAACACTTCATTAATTTAATAGGTCCATTAAAGGTTATGTAATTGCTCAAGTTCACACAAATAAACTGGTTTGTCCTCTGCACCCACCCGCACACTCGACGTGTGTACACTCCTGGCAAATCCCACACTTGATCCATTTTTCTCCCGCCTGCTCTTTTGAAATCTTGCCAATATCCACTCTCCCCATATTATGCGGCGCAACAAGACACCCCCAGGCTATATACAAAAAATGATTATTTTTAATGTCAATAAAATTTGGGTAGTTTTGAATACTATTCCGCATCACCTTCATATTCCGCATCACCGGGCATACCCTACCTCCATTGACGATCCACTACGGCTGAATATCATAAGCCGTCACTGCCTCAAGTGTTTGAGGGAAGCATCAATTTTTGCTGCTTTTACAGGATTTCGATTTCAATATTCAGTGCCTAATTGGAGCGGTTCCTCTGTCAGCCTTTCTTTCGCCTCCTGCCACCTTAAGAACAGCTACTCATCAAATGACAAGACTGGTCCAAACATGCCCGTGCTTCACGCTCGCATTAATTATTGTTCTTGTTCACTGATCCAGTGTTGGCCACCCTTTATTATTCCACGAGCCGCCAATAATATAGCGAAATAATTCCGGTAACTTTACCAACTTCCTTATTATGAGAGTCGAGTGCATATGCCTTTTATTCGCTATTTTAAAGTCCTCATCTGCTTTCAACCAGTGGCGTAGCGTGGTTGGCATGGGCCCTGGTGCAAGGAATGATACAGGGCCCGCTGTCTAATTTCTTACTATTGAATTATGTGGGCGTCATATTTTTTTTGCTAGTTTTCTCCGGCAGCATATAAATCGTCGTCGGTCGCTGAAGTCAGTATACAAGGGAGTGGATATGGAGGGGGGGGGGGGCTGTTTCCTAGTTTCCAGCACCCCCCTCCCCCCTCCTCTCTCTGCCACCACCCTCCGTTCTATCGCCTTATTCAGTTTTCGTCTGGGGTAAAAACCCTGAATATCCATTTCATAGTAGCTAATAAACATTATGTGCTTTCTATTTAATAAATTTAAAAAATTGGCTGCGAACTTGGCCAGAGGAGGGGGTCACCCTCCCTCTTCTAGATCCGCCACTAGTGAAAGGGTGAATGCAGAGCCGGATCAAGAAGTTGCGAGGCCAGGGGCAAGTGAATTCTTGGTCCCCCCCCTCTCCCTGCTACTTTACGCAAATACCTAACGTGTTTAATTTCCCTCAAGGGCCCCCTGGAAAAGCAGGGCCGGGGCAACAGCCCCCTTTGCCCCCCCTCCTTAATCCGACCCTGGGTGATTAGTATTTGAAGTAGCCACCCCTTCATTTAAGCACACAAAGCGGCGTCTCAGTTGTGAGGTGTCTCTGTGCAGTGTCGCGTTGAACTCCTGATTGATTCCTTTTGTCAACGCCCCCCTCTTCGTAGCTCGGTGCCTGGGCCTCTCTGGCCCGTGGGCCCCGGTGCAGTCGCACCACCTGCACATTCGATAGCTACCCAGTTTAAAATCCCGACTGGAATTTTCCAGCTGGATTGAATCTGGTTTTGTTAGCTGGTTCCAGCTGGACTCCAACTGTAAATTCGGACCGATTCCAGCTGGAAAGTAGAGCAAAAATCCGGCTGGATCCAGGTTGGTTCCCAACTGGAATTTTCCAGATGGACTGAAGCTGGTTGTCCGTCGTTTCCGGCTGGATTCTAGATGGTTCCCAGCTGGATTGAAGCTGGTTGTGCTTGTCGTTTCCAGCTGGTCCCTAGACGGTTCCCAATTGGATTGAAGCTGGTTTCGTCAGCTGTTTCCAGCTGGACTCCAACTGTAAATTCGGACCGATTCCAGCTGGAAGGTAGAGCAAAAATCCGGCTGGATCCAGGTTGGTTCCCAACTGGAATTTTCC